TCTTTAGATGGTCGGAACTTTTTAATGAATCTGTAGACAAATTTCTTAAATATATTTTATATCAAAATATATTCGAAAGACTAATAAACTTAAACTCTCTTAAACATTTGCTACTCCTGGCCAGTTTACTAAGCTCTCATCCTCTGACGAATCGTTGAACCAGAACTCGTTGTACTCATTTTACCACGTTTTTATAAACTTGCTTTCTTTTTTACTTCATTTTAATTAGAACAAATTTACATAAATATGTATAAGCACACTATTTAGTTTGCTCGATTTGTAAACAAAGCTTCTCAGCGGTGAAAAATATACTATTGTGAACAACCTAAACGAGCGAAATTCACAATAGCGCTATTCTTCATCGAATGAGTGCCATAATACCAAATGCAAATTCGTTCGCTCAGCACTTTCGACCACAGTCGAAAATCGAATGCAAATCATAATAGGGGCCAAAGTCTACTGAGAAAATCGTCAAAATCTATGCTGTATAAGCTTTATCTCTTATACCTCTGATTAATCAGATACCAGTTATTACGATATATCTCCTTTATGTAGGAGTCTAAACCCATTAAATTGTGTTACCGGTTTACATACCGGCATAGCCGAAGACAGCGCTGCTCTTACTTGTTTTTCCTTACATTTGGCAACTTTTTCGTCTAATCTAGGTTAGAACGTTCTTAAAGCGGCGGCAACACTGTTTCCAACCGACATCTTTGTTAAATTAGTGCGTTTAGTAAATTAAATTTTTGTAATAAAGCGTGAACTGTTGTCTACAAGTGTTTATGATTCGATTCACGCGTTTGGGCACAGCAACCCAAAATCGTTGTAAAAATTCATAGAGTACCCTAAATAAGTAATAGGAAATAAGGCAAAATTGGTTTTATTTTTAACCTTTGTTGGAAATAAAGCAGATTTCGCGTTGTTGCTGTTTGCGTTATTGCACAAACGCCCCCCTCCCCCCCCCCCCCCCCCCCCCCCCCCCCCCCCCCNCCCCCCCCCCACGCTCCACACCAGCAGTAATACGCGTCGTTTGATTATTTTGCATCATTCTTCGGTGGGGACCATGAAATGCACCATAACCAAATTCAAAATTTGGGACCCCTTATCTATGGCGCGAGTGGTAGATCGTCCGATCATAAATCTGTAGACGTTATATGCATTTCCAATTGAGCTTGAGCAATATCTTCGAGTGCTATTTGTATTTGATCCAGCAATGCCTCCCCGTTTTGTACAACATCATCTAGCCTTTTTGCCGATTCTTGATTCTCGATTTCTAACCTTCTAAGGCTTTGATGTTGCAGCTCGGTAGAGCTGTCTTCATTCGGCAATGATTCAATGAGAGTGTCTATGTCTTTAGCACATCTAGAAATTAACTGGGCAAAAAGGTGTGCATAATCTTCCTGGGAAGTCATTCGTAGGGGTGTTTGCGAACCAGTTCTGTCAAAATTGGGGAACTTACTCGGATACGATGTTTGCTGAATAATACCAACAGCATTGCAAAAGTGTTCAGCTTGCTAGAATTTAAAAATAAAAATTGATAACAGCAACACTTAGAAAAATTACCAACCTGGTTAACAGTGTCCTGAAGCTGAGTCAAGCGATCAGCCATTATTTTTATGATTTTTCATATAGTAACTTGAGGTAGATATGCAAAACAAACATCGATTTTAACGATGCTATTCGATGCATCGAATAAAACCGATTGTGAACAGGGCTGCCATACGTTTAGAGTCTAAAATCCGTACACAGGCTAATGGGCTGTTTTTGCTTACGCGTAAAAGCACATTTAGCGCATTTAGCTCTAAATGCTACTCTAAATGTACATTTCTCCATACAAAATTCGTCCCCTAAATGCAACTAAATGCCACTCCATTTTTGCATTAAGAATCTAAATGCTAAAAGCAACCCTGTGATCTTCCAAAATTTCCACGATTCGAACATGGTATACCATGAATCAAAAATACAAGATCACGTAAGAACGCGACGTTGTATTTGTAACTGGTTTTGAGAAAAAAGTTTGCGAAAGCGGGTTCGTCAGCTGAGCGTTTGTTTACATCACAAGCACCACTATTTTACACTTTTATTCAAGTAAAGAAGAGTTAATTCAACATGACAACACATTTTAAAGCATTTTGTTGCATCATTTTACCTAAATTGTGCGTTTAAAGTGGCTGACAATAATTTTGGCTAATTTTGGTTTTCGTTGTTTTCTTTGCTNATCCATCATTTTACCTAAATTGTGCGTTTAAAGTGTCTGACAATAGTTTTGGCTAATTTTGGTTTTCGTTGTTTTCTTTGCTTTGTTTACTTTTCGCTCGTTTTCCAGTGAAACAAGATGGCGTAGAACCCGCTAAAAAAATCGACTTTTTTCACTCTCTTGTTCTTACGTGATCTTGTGTCTTTCGTTCATGATGGTATACAGTGGCTAGCTGCGTTTCAGTGATCGCCGATCGAGATTTCAATTATTATTTTACATTATTTGGATAAAGGAAAGTTAAGAAAATTCAATATCGATGTGATGCTGATAGAAATCTGGATCAATTTGTGATCAATTCTGTTTGTTTTGTTTCCTAATTAAGTGAAGAAATTTTAATTGACAGCACCGACAAATGAATAAAACAAAAACAAATGGTCGGTCATGGTTAAAACAATTCAAATTTTTGTATTGAAGTTTTGGTTTAAAACTTATTTTTTCCTTTTCAGTACGGTTTTTGCACAATCAGCCTCATTGCGTAAGTCGTAAATTAGGCTCAATTGTACGACTGGACAATATTGGCATTGTATACAGCCGTGCTGAAATAAGTAAACGACGAAAATCGTCGTAAACTATACAGTGCTGCCAAGTTTTCCCACTTTAATACACTAGTCGAGTGGAAATTTTAGGCAATGGCGTGAAACTTAAGATACGATTCGACTCTTGAAAAACGACTTGCATTCGACACGGCTCTCGCAATGAGGGCGATTATCTTTTCCGTGAGAATTTATCGTAATAGATACGGATCTGAATAAGCGACTGGAACACGGCTGTTTTCAAAGAACGTTCATGCTATCGCATTTAGCAAATTTACATTTACGCGAGTTCGAAATCGTGTACTTTTGACAAACAGCCGTGTTCCTGTCGCTTATTCAGATCCGTATCTATTACGATCAGTTCTCACGCAGAAGATAATGTGCAAAAACCCTACTCAAAATGAAAAAATAAATTTTAAGCCAAAAACTCAATACAAAAACTCGAATTGTTTTAACCATAACCGAACATTTGTTTATGTATATATTCATTTATCGGTGCTGCCAATTAATATATCTTCACTTAATTAGGAAACAAAACAAACAGAGTTGATCACAAATTGATCCAGATTTCTATAAGCATCACATTGATGTTGAATTTGCGTAACTTTATCCAAGTATTGTAAAATAATGTGGCGAATACTGCGGCAACACAAAGCGAACAGGAGAAATAGGCAGAATGTTCGAGGAATGACGTAGAATGTTCCACAAAGAGAAACGTCAAGTTGGATGAACACTGCGAACAGCGAGAGAAAGAGAATGAGCGATAAACTTCAGAAAGTTCCAGAGTTGCCATAAGTGCCAGCGCAGGTATATAAGGGCACCGCCACAGCGAGGTGAGTTAGTTACAAGTCAGCAAGCTACAAGTAAAGAGTTCGTTCCAAATTGTGTCTGGATATGTAGACGTCTACATTTTGAGACATTTTTAGCATCAAACTGTGAGCGC